CAGTCCAATAGGCAACAAATGCTGAGGAACGAGTGCAACGGAAGAGATGTTGGGACCCGTGAAAGGCCAACCGCCAAGCAGAAGGCCGCGTCGTCCAAAGATCGGAGTAACAACTCATCAAGGTGCTATCATTTTGTATATTTCTATTATTTGAAACTTTTACTGGCGAAGTTTCTTTAAAGCAACAGTCCCAGCAGGGTTTTTACCTTCGACACTAATGGTGTGGAACGATGCGCTAGCCCTAGTCAAGAACATAAGAAGTGTGACTGAACAAAAAACTCACCTTGGAAAGCCGCTAGAAAGGGAGCTGAACGGCTTCGAAGTGGGCGTGGTTGTGCAGTCCCCTCGGCCGATTCCAACCACGCCCACTTCGAAGCCGTTCAGCTCCCTTTCTAGCGGCTTTCCAAGGTGAGTTTTTTGTTCAGTCACACTTCTTATGTTCTTGACTAGGGCTAGCGCATCGTTCCACACCATTAGTGTCGAAGGTAAAAACCCTGCTGGGACTGTTGCTTAAAGAAACTTCGCCAGTAAAAGTTTCAAATAATAGAAATATACAAAATGATAGCACCTTGATGAGTTGTTACTCCGATCTTTGGACGACGCGGCCTTCTGCTTGGCGGTTGGCCTTTCACGGGTCCCAACATCTCTTCCGTTGCACTCGTTCCTCAGCATTTGTTGCCTATTGGACTGGATCATCTACACTGTTGTGATATACCAGAGAGTCTACCCAAGAAAATAAATACCTGACGCCCATTCTTTTTCTACCAAAGTATAGTCGCTGCTTTATGAGTTTTCCGTTTCTTCTCCTCATCAAAATCCTCTCAACTTCGTGTTTCAAAACAACCTCTTAATTTTCAAATTAGGTTTTAAAATCAGAGATGTGCACCTTGTTGCTATGTTTCAAAAAATCATTCCATGCAAAGATGCGGCTCAGGAGAAAAGTCAGATCTCCTCCTTGGCCAAATCACCAAAGCTGCGCGGTCATTGACATGATCGCTGACATATTCGAGAATTAGAGGAGGCTCTATGAAGATTTCGTTGGCAAGACCTAAAACGAGCAAAGAGCTTCACCTTTTAGGGCTGGCAGTGATTACATGAAATTAGTGAAAAATATACCCGTCTCACTATCGCTGGCACAATTCAAACGCCGTGTAGTTCAACTTGCTACGAAGCAATGCCGAGTCCTAACGTTTTCTGAGACTGACTTACGAACCAGATTATCTTTGGTTGTAATTGGTTGTTTGTATAAGTGTTCAATAGTTACATTGTGTTCTTTTTTCTCACGTTTGCCTTGTGCAGACGTAATAAACTTATACTTATCTATCATTGAAGCCTAAGATTATGCTTGGTCAAGCTTAAGCTTATGCTTACACCTGGGCTTGTGCTATAGCCTATCATTAAGCAGGCCTAGTCTTAACTCACAGCACCTCCGGTTCAAACGTTTACGCCTCGTTATTCTAGAAGTTTTGTTCAGCGACTTCCTGCTGTTCGCAGAAAATTCATTGCCTAGGCGCTGTCCTGATTTTCTTTGAGAAATCTAAATCAGCCTGCACTGCGCCCGCATAGTTCATTTGTGTACATGAAAGCCTGCATAGAAGACTGCCATTGGCAGTGAACATAAATGAAGTGACGATAAAAATTCAGCGACATTGACAATGTGTGTTTCCGCGTTACGCAAAATGGCGGAAAGGAAGCCAAACTAAAATCCTGCTCAGTCTGACTGGTCTCAAATGCTCTCGAACTCTACAAATGGACCCTAGCTTGGTTTCTCTGGTCAAGAGGAATTTGTTTCTACGTCTTTTCCATATTATGAAATTTCAGAACCACTTTGTGCAAGTTAGCCTTTTTTTCTCATGTACTTCACTGTGTACATCATACAGTAACCAAGAACAGCCGCCGTGTGTACCAAATGCCAAAACACAATGAAAAAAAATAAAAAAAAATTAAAGTGAAATAAAATACCAAATGCCATATGTTGAAATTAGGGACCTTTTGAAAAAATTAAGTGTTATACTCTCCCCTGCTTTCACTAGTTCAAGAACATATTGCTAACCGCATGGCTGCAAACCCATTCGTCTCGTGGAATCGACATCATGATTAAAGTTAAGGCCGATGTCATTCAGTTGCGAATCGAGCAAAACTATGACGTCGGCCTTAATTTTAATCATGTGTCGAACACGAGTTAGTTTACGCGAAGTTATACGCGAATCGCTGGATCCGAGCGTTGCGCCAGCGAATCGAACGTTGCACCAGCGAATCGAACTTTGCGCCAGCGAGTCGAACGATGTACCAGCGAGTCGAACTAGGTACCAGCGACTCAATAGTGGCGGGACCCAACGTTTAAAGGAAGCCCGCCACTTTCAAACAGTGTCCACGGCAAAGTCCCGCCACTTTCAAACAGCGTCCACTGTCACGTGACACTGTTTGAAAGTGGCGGGCTTCCTTTAAACGTTGGGTCCCGCCACTATTGAGTCGCTGGTACCTAGTTCGACTCGCTGGTACATCGTTCGACTCGCTGGCGCAAAGTTCGATTCGCTGGTGCAACGTTCGATTCGCTGGCGCAACGCTCGGATCCAGCGATTCGCTAGCGAATCGCTCGATTCGCAAACTATGACATCGGCCTAAAGAAGGCAAGCCGGCAATATATACCTACTGCGGAGAAGTATGATCGACAGCGATAATCTATCACGTAGCAGATTCTAGGTATCGATCAATAAGCGAAAGTTCTGGAGCTTTCGAAAAATCGGCTCAGGACTTTCTTACCATCCTAAGTAGTTCGACGCGCTAGTACGTACTTCGATTCGCTGGCGCAACGCTCGGATCCAGCGATTCGCTAGCGAATCGCTCGATTCGCAAACTATGACATCGGCCATAGAACGGTTACCCCAAAAAATCCCCGAAATCCAAGTTGAATGAGGGAGAGAATAGGGCGGTATGTGACTGCTGAAACGATGAAATTTACGCTCCACGTCGACGTCTCGTTTCTTATTTTCTCACCTATCGCCCACTTCCTTTATCTACGACCCCTTCCTCTCATCGTAACAAATACTACGCTGTTCAAGAAATCCTCGATCGCACAATGCTTACAACCATTAACACTGCTCGTGCTCGTGATTCTTAGCTTACAGTGCTTTCAGCGCTAAGGAGGCAAATATAGCCTTATCCTCCGTGTAAGATCAGTAAAAACAGTTGCACCTACTCAACCCTTGAGATTTTCCACTTTGTGGAGATGTTGGGCTCGGTCCTTTCAGCTCAATGCGCGGCAGTCTAACGCTTCCGCCATGGCCGTCAGACCCGAAAGATCTCACATTTCATGCCATTTGCTTTCTGGACGCCTTTAATGGCACCGCGGCTCTCAAATGCTGACATGGGCGTCAAAAGTTTCCTGAAGTAGATCGCAAATGACAGCGGTATATTATGTCATTCGAACTAAAGTAATGAATAACAAGACATTTTCTGACGCTTCAGTCGGATTACCTTGTTTAAGTACTTTTCATGGAACAATGTTTCCTTCGTCATCAGAATGATTTCATTAGCCGTCGATTAAGTTAATTTTGCTATAACGAGGACCTTTTGTACTGCACTACAGACTCCACAACACATGTTTCGACGATCTCCAAATTGTCTGATAACTAGTAGTTTATAGTGAAGGCAAATGGATAAATTGTCAGTGATGGACAACGACTTTATGTTCACAATCTCCTGGGCCTACCTTATTTTTTAATCTAGCAGATACCCTCTCTTTCAAATTACGAGAAGAGCGTCGGGTGCAGACCATACACCACAAGTGACGACGGCCTCCAAGTAAATCTGGTTAGTAGTGGTTCATAGTGATAGCTGATTTTTGGTAAATGATAGTTGTAATTAGTGACAACTGATAGAATACAACTGCAACAGGCTAATCATTTCATTGGCAGAAAACATTAACATTTTGTGGAGGCCGTCGTCACTTGTGGTGTATGGTCTGCACCCGACGCTCTTCTCGTTTTTGAAAGGGAGGGTATGTAGTGACGTCAGATAACGTCATAGAAAAAATTGTTATTATTATTGTTATATTTTCCATCAATATTCTGTTCCCTTCTCTGGCACAAAAAAAAGATTCGTTCACATGCCCTGTAGTGGAAGCACTGTGATGAAGTTTACGATGAGTGAATTTTCGGCAAATGCTAATATCCAGAAAACCGTGAGATTTTGTCAATGCTCAACCACTTCGTATACTCTTCATAAACTCCCACATTTCTGTCATCCATCTTCAAACGTGATTAAACATCAAAGATGGTTGTGAGCAGCTTATGCAGCCATTGAATAGAAACCTTTACTGGGTTCGTATTTTCGCAAGATCTATGAAGTGTTTGTTGAAACCTATCAGCATGGAAGCTATAGGGCTTCTTTTTAGGACCATCTTGTTCGCCCTGAAGTTGGTGTTTCTTCATTTGAAACCTATGTACATAGTTCATGTGGAAGCTTCACGAGATACTCCTGATCACATTGTCCTCCTACGAAAATTATGATGATGACTTTGTTGCCTATACTTTTTCTCATATTTCAGAAAATGACTCGCAAGTGACGCTCTTGTCTGACGCGAATCTGGGGGGGGGGGGGAATGACAAAATTCGAGTTTAGTGAACTGACCATTCGAGATGAGATGTGGAGCGCCTAAAGCTTATTCGAGCGCTGAGCCTCAGCCATTATTATGTGATACCGAACACAATCGCCAGCAGAAACGCGATACGCATTGGGGCATGAATGTGAGTGGGTTACTATGCCGACGCCAACAGGTTGGGTCCTTGGTGAATAAGGTTTTTTGCACTTGTTCCGAAAGGCAGGTGAAGCTAGCGGTCTAAGTCATTTTTGTTCGCTAATTTTTCTTGCGCTAACTTATCAGCGGCGAAATCTTGAACAACCCAGGCAGAAGACTTGTGAAAAATTCGAAATTCCCTTCTATTTGTAAGATAGAGCTCGATTGGGCAATCACAGATGTGGCACTCCCGTGCACGGAAATCACCGACAAGGGCGCTAGGGCCTTGCAAAGTAAGCTGCAGCAGCTGCATTTTTCAGGCTGTTGTCTGGCGCTCTCTCATCTGTTGCGCTCTCTCGCCTCATACTCTCCTCTCCGCGCTTAGTCTCTCATTCCCTTAGCACAGCCGATTAGGAAGGTGAGTGAGCCCTTCAACCTAAGCGTTTTCGACGGATTCTTTTCCTTTTTTCTTACTGCCGGCCCACTTCGCACCAATACATTCGCATTCGTGTGCAAGAGCCACACCATGTGATCCTGGGGCATACCTTCAATAACTTGTGTCGTGCTTAGCGACCAAGGCAAGGACTGTAATCTGTAAGTGGGTTCCTAATGGAACTCGCTCGCAAAAGCTCCTGGAGTCTAATGACGCCTCGTAGCAATTCATGACGTCGTTGCGTACTGGTCCGCGCACAGTATTCAAAAATCGAGCAATCGTCCCTCCATCCCCACATTTCTGTACCGTCAGCCGGATTAGACTTCCACCAAAATTCATCGAGCTATCTTCCGTACGTTGCGGCTGCGTGATGCGTGGTGGGACGGAAGGTCAGCTCGCTCTATTACTGTTGGCTTTTCATATTCACTATTTTCTTTCACCAGGAGTGTCTGACTACACCAAAAGATGGCCAACCATGAGACCAGATGAATCCCACTGGCAAACCCAGGCCTCCTCAGACGTCTTTGTCATAATCTCCGAGATATGAGGTTATTTGGCTTTTACGAGAATCTAAAAGAATATTCCAAGGTTCGAATTGATGTCCGTACCATATCAACCGGCTAAGATCTTGAGCAGCACCAGCAGGTGTTGATACTGCGGGCCACGCATATGAGCGTGACCATTACATCACCTAGGCCCCAAATTTAGCTTGGTAATTTCCAAGAATTATATAGAATGATCTCTGAAGACTTTCGTTATTACTTTGTAGATTGATGACATGATAATAATAGTTTCTATAGCAACAACTTCTTCACCTAATCGACTCATTTTTGCAGATGAACAATAGAATATTCAATCTAATTGAATTTCATCTTCAGTGTAGTCATCTGTACCCCCATTGTCCTGTAATCCTTTTCATTTATCCCTCTCTTATTGATTTCCATTCCAACAGCCTGACGTCTTCAAGCGCAGTCCACATGGCGCTGCTGTACAGTTCATGGCTCCATCACTCTTCCTTTCTCTTCCTTGTTGTTTCCATAAGCATCTGTTTCATACTTGTTTTATCCTTTATCCTTCCTTTCACCCTTTTATCCTCCTTCATCCTTAGGGACATATTTTCCATCATAGCCTACATAAGGATAAGGATAAGGATAAAGCATTTGCCGTTGATCAATCCCGTTTTGGGATGCGGCACGCATTCTACTTCCATTTGTACATTCGCAGTGGCATTTGAATGCGATGTGGCCTATACAATGACTTGCGGGGGCCAGCCGATGTTCAAGTCAGTGTTTTTTTATCTCTCCAGACAAGTCTGGTACCAATTAACCGACCCCGGAGGGATGGAAGGCTTGGTTGGCCCGGGCGACTCACGACCCAGGAATTGATCCCGGACCGCTCGCGTGGGTGAAGGCGCGACTGTGCACTGGCGAACCTAGTTCGCCCGTTAGCTACAGACAGCTAGCTTTCCCTATTTTTTTATTCTTTTGTTTCATTTATTTATTTATTGAAAAATGAATATCATGAACAAACACATCAAAACCGGGCTATACGAAGTTACACGTAAAATCATACACTGCGTTTCATAATTATAGGTCCACCCTAAATTTTTGCTACCCCAAAGTTGCTGTGCATTTTATGAAAATGCTACTATCACCGTTAGATTCCTCGTCACGGAAAACCTTAGTGTTTTTCCGACAAAGTTCCCCCTCAAGTAACCCAATTAACTTTTTTAGAACGAATTTTCACCGTTTCATGAATATCGGGCCACTCATAAAAAGTTTCCATTTCTCACGATCCGTGAAGGGAATCAGGGAAGCGGGGAAATATGTGGGCTCAGTCGACATCGAGTTTACCATACCTCGTGTTATTCGCCTCTCTTCCCAGTAACAAGCTCAAGCTAGAGCACTTACTGAAGTGGGATAGCTGAGGAGCAGAATTTCCTCCCATGTCGGCCGGCTCATACTGCATAAGCGACTATGTGCAAAATCCTGGTCAGTGCGGAGAGAAGAGTCGCTTAGGTAAATAAAGACTGCGTTTCCTTCAAAATTTAGGAGGAATTGGGTGTCTTCTCTCGAATTATACAAGGAGTCCGAACAAAGTCCGTACTGAAATGCGGCCTTCCGTGAGCAAAACCACCGTGTGGTGAGTAAGCCAGCAGCAGCAATAACATCTTCAACGGATTGATGAAGAGCGTTTCAAGATTATCGGCGACTAACAAGATCGCAAGTCTCCATTTCTCTGACGGGAAAAGGGCTCAACTTAATGAGCGATGGTGTGGCTGTTAAGACCCTTCGCGATCTTGGACTCTACCTCCTTGTTTCGTTCTACAGGTGGTCTGAGATCGACGTGGAAAAGTTTATTCTAGGTGGATATGGCAGAAAAAGAGGGTACAGGATGATCGCGTGAAAATCGCAGATGGTTTCAATGTAACGTAATTTCGGCGGTGAATCCCTTATGGTTTGAGGCACCTTTGAACGACTGAGTAGCTAGAGCTCGCTTTTGTTTCCGTTCACAAAGATTCCACAGGGTATCGTGAAGTTCTTTCGAAGCGAGTCTTACCATTTTTTCAACAAGGATCCCCTCTATCCTTGATTTTCACACACGATAACGCGGCTGTCCATTGCGGTCCTCCGCGCCAGATGGAATTGCAGGAAAAAATGTGGCAGTTATCTGGTGGCCACCATGTTATCTGAATTAGATTCAAATAGAGAATCATTGGGCCTTAATTGTTATAAAGTTCCACAGCAAAGTAAAGCAAAATGGAACAGCCGAAAAGCTGAAAAGGTCGATCATCGGCGCCCAGACGAATTTCGATCCTACGTATAGCTAATTTTGTATTACGAGTCAAACGTATTATTGTGTTCCTTATGATTATTGGGGGGTCATCCATTATTGAAAATTCGTGACGTTTTTTCGTTATAGTAAAATCTCTCGACAAGTGATGTGTAGTCATATTTGCGAAACGGTGAAAATACGTTCTAAGGAAGATATTTTAATAATTCTGAATCGAGATTTCTCCAGAAATCAAGTATCAAGGTTTTTCGTTATGGGGAAACTATTGGTAATAGCGGCATTTTCCAAAAATGCACAGCAACTTTGGAATAGCAAAAAATTAGGGTGGACCTATATTTATGAAACGCAGTGTATTATAAGAAATATGAGGTAGAACACTGAGAATACTAATAAATATAATTCTTCATCCTCTGAATGTCTGATTAAAATACGAAAAATTTTAAGAACTCAGGTGTAGAATTTGCGAATATTTTTAAGTGTGATAAACTACTGGGCATAGAATACTTTTGATAAGCCTGCCGTTCTCTTAGAAGGTTAAGAAAAAAAAAAATGGTACCAAAGCCTGGTGGATGTCCTACAAGAAAGCTATGATATGCCTGGGGATTTGCTTTATTATACAGTTATTCGTTGTTATTTACTATTTATTTATTTATTTATTTATTTATTTATTTATTTATTTATTTATTTATTTATTTATTTATTTATTTATTTATTTATTTATTTATTTATTTATTTGTTGCGCTCGAAAGACGCGCTGTTACAGTATCAAGTCGTCAAACAAGTTAGGGGGAACACCCTAATTAAGAATCTAATCAGGGCAGTAACACTAATAAAATAATACTGGAAAGAACTAGAAGAAAAAGAACTTGAGCTTATTGGGGGTGCCCTTCCATGGGGTGGAGACTGCTGAGTTCGCACAAATTTAGGAAGCAATTTCTCCGTACAGGATCAGAAAAAGAATAAATAAAAAACAATACAAATAAAATCAAAAACGAAATCAAGAAACTACTAGATGTAAATTTTCTTTAACTTATTGTGGTTGTTGTTGTTGATGACTCGGATAAGATTACGATCGCGCAAAATAGTAGAAAATATTGAACAGCGCACAAAATATGAAGAATACCAGTTTTTTTCTGGCTGAAAAAAGTTCCGAAGGGACAAGCCTTCTTAGCCACTGAAGCTGCACATTCTGGAACCTGTTTCATAACTGTGTAGCCGGCTAGGGTAACGGCCCGCCCGGTCGAGAAAAGGAGGAAACTTGTTTCCGTAATTCTGATCGCATATGATTAAACAGTCGCTTTGCCAGGAAACGAATCAGGATTTTCTGCGAACTTCGACATTTTTGCGTTGGGCTAATTTTGGATTTTTAGTAATTTTGTCTTTTCAGTGGTTGCCTACCTTTGCACCTCGAAATGCCTTCAGGGGAAACTGTTAGAGTGGACGAAGAGGGTCACGTGTCTGAAACCGGTCATATGCCAATGTTGGCTTTGTGGTCGATCCAATCGTCTGAGCCTCACAAGGCGGGATTTGCTATTGTGAATACTGAGAAAATATAGAGAGGAAAAAGCGGTTTTCGTTTTCGCCTTAATTAATAACATACGCTTCACGACCGCACGAGTACTTGCACGGACGGTATCACCCAGAGTCAACCCTGCGTTGCGCAGTTCTCAACGGCCACGTTGCGCAGTTTCGCCCGATTAGACACGTTCTCTCGCGCGAACATTCACACTCGCATGCTCGAGCCGTCTGTGTCTCCGCCCATACAGCGTGCGTTGAGGATCTCTCAACGTGCCGTTGCGAACTGCGCAACGCAGGGTTGACTCTGGTATCACCTCGCGCCAAATCAGTCCTAAAATCTTCCTTAGATTGAGTTCAAAAGATGAAGTAATGTTGCAAACAACAAAAACTTGTCGGAAAAGGAGGGAGTGCATATTTCTGAGCATCAGCCTCCATCTTAATGGGCCCGGTACTTGTTTACTGCGATCATTCCCAGTAAACTTTTCAATCTATTCAGTAACCATGTACTTGTCCTGGTTACTTGTGATTCAATTCAGAATGTCTTATAATTTACCAGCACCGCACGAGCATCTGGAATGTCATTAAATCAATAATCAGAATATTTTTATTAAATGAAAAAATAGACGAAGTTAATGGGAGGGCTGAACTGGAAAGATCTCTAAAACGCTCGTCACGCTTTGTGAGTTCCTCGAAGTTTCAATTGCTGGAATTTGCCCAACCAATACCTTACCTAAAAAAAACTTAAATGCGTCCTCCATTTTCCTTCAGGAGGACCTTTATTTATTTTCGGGTTTTTAATGACTATATTGGGGTACGCCACGAACCCGACTTCGACTAGTAAACGAAGAGGCACTCGAACGTGTCGTTTGTTTCAAGAAAAAATTCATTTGGCCTGGTAGGTCTACCTCTCTCCTGAAAAAAAAACCTGTTTACCCTATTAAAAACCTATTTTAAATTTTGATGAGTATTTCAATCAGCAAAATATACAGATTGCTTTCAAATTACCCGACTGCGAACAAAGTGTAAGTACAGTATCCCCTATGCAAAACTTATATAAACTATGTAAACTTGTATTTAAGCAGCCTTAGCCCGCTAAACTGTGTTCTTTTTGTATAACAGCTACATTTTTGAAATTTTTTTGTGCATTATGCCGTTCAATCTCTCTCAGGCAGTATTACTACTTTTCGTGAACTCGGTATTTTTATTTAACAAAGCAGCTAGTCATGTCCAGTTATTCGTGTTTACGGAAGGACGTCACATTTATTGTCGAATGGTGAAGAAGTCATCATAATTAAGTAGTTGGTGTGTGGTGTGCTGGGGAGGATAGCCGGGGGGGGGGAGGACGGCGGGGTGGTGACTTGTGGTTAATCGAGTGAGAGCCCGCCCTCCGTCTCTCAATATCATCTGGCGACATTCGTATTCTGTAGCCAACATTCATTTTCAGGTGCTTGCCCATTCCTAAGTTTCTTTATAGAAAATCCTTTCACATTGTTTTTTTATGAAGTAGTTTTCTGTAGCAAATCTGATGTACCCCGATCAATAGAGCTATCATAGTTACTGTCGCAAACCGGACAAAGTATGTGCGCAGAGTATTTAGGACTATTTGTTCTCTAAGTGATCTTCTAGCGCTTGAAAACCTGGGATAAATGTACCCGGCCCTGTTTAGTAGGCCGTAGTTACTATAAACATGAATAGACCTGTGCAGCGAAGCGAGTATGCAAATAATTGTTTTTTTGCTTTTCTTCGGCTTGAGTGGAGGTCTCCCTGTTTTTGAATGCTTCTTCAATCGAAGGGTACTACTCTCTTTAACTCTAAGGTAAAGTTGAAAATATTGATCTGTGAATAAGCAGATTCTCATCAATTTTGATGACCTCTCGCCTAAACCGATAAGTGAGCATATGGAGTCCATGTGAGTCTCTTTTCTTAAAGACCGCTTCCAAAACTTTCAAAAAAGTGTGGAAAATTTAATCTGCTCGAAAATGAGTTTTTTCCAAGATAGCCGAGAAGCGAAAGTCATAAAAAAATTGTCGGTCTAACTTTCGTTTCTCCTTTCGGAATTTCAGAATTCAGTTGTTCAGGGACAAGTTCAGGGTCGAGGATCTTGTTAGAGGGCCAATTCCGGCCTTCCGGATGGGGAGTGCGGCTTTTATGTCGGCTAAGATCTCAAGGCTTCCATCTTAGTCCGTTTCTGTACTTGAAACCCTTTTATTTCGCTGCTGTTCCTCATTTCTTGTAACCCTTTTTATATCATTCTTTTTATATTTTCCTATTATGGACTGGTTCTTCTACAAATTCCGCCCTGTGTGCGCACCGTTTCGGTGTATTGAATATAAATAAATAATCTCAATCCAGCCGAGCAAAATAGCTTCCAGGTTGCCATCTAGGTAACAAATTGTTCCTTAGTCACCTGAAAAAGACATAACTCCTCTGGACCACTCTTAACTCTCGGTCCTGCTACGATAGGCCAATTTTTGACCAATCTCCACGAATATCCACTTAACTAGTGACCACTGACCGCTGTCCACATGAAGGGCACCATTAGTTTTAGTGGCGAAATAAGGGATAACCAAAGTTTTCACCTCGTCCCGCCTTTTTCAGTTGAGCCAAGAAGGGTCTCATGAATATCTCGATAATTGCTTTCAGTATGCTACCCCATTTCTAAGGGCAATCGGTCCAAGTGAATGTATGGAGCAACGATATGACGTCAACGGGTCCCTGATGATCCCGCCTTTCGTCTCCCAACAAATTGCACCCTTACACGAGCCTTTTGTGACGGCGCTGATACTGCCTTTCCCGTTCCAGCCTTGGGGAAAATCCCGCAGCAATGTGGACATTTTCTCCCATTTCTCGGGGCTATCGCAAGATAAGGGGGGGGTAGTGCCATTATGGCGGCAACACATCTCGAACCGTTTAGGAAAACTATTTTCTGTTGGAAACGAGAATTAGCTTCAAGCGTGGAAGCAGGGACTCAAGATGTGCAAGAACGTTTTATTTTTTCTCGAATTTTTTCTTCTTCTTGTTCCTGTCTTCCCTTAGTTCCGTAGTATGCCCCCGAATTTTGTGATAGCGCTCCGATTGTCGTTATTTTCCCTTTGTTGCAGCAGTTTTTTGGCTCTTCCTTGACATTAATTTCTCTCTGTTGATTTTTCCTACTTCTTTCACCTGATCCAGTAATTTCGGAGTAATTCTAATTAGTAACACATAAATAGATATGAGCGTGCTGCAACGTCGTGCCACAGGTGCCGCATCGCGTCTTGTACGTCTACCATCACGTGGACACGAGCCACCTCTCCAGGGCGGAATGAGTTGTCCGAGCTCCCCGGCCGTAAAGAAGGTAACTAACTCACTAGCATTTTTGTGGTTTTTTTTTAGGTTTTTTTGAATTTTATTTCGTTTATAAGAAGAACCAGCGAGTTTGTCAAAGATCACTTCTTGTTTGTGATTTCAGTTTACCATTACTGCTTCTTTCAAGAGCGTCGCAAACTTTTCAATTGCTGTTTTTGTTTACTGGCATTTTTTCCATTTCCTAGTGAACCCTGGCTGAAATAAAGAAAACTCGATGATGAGGCTCCGACTTCAGCAGGAGTTTTTAGTGTGAGTGGATTTCCTATGGGAATAAAGAGATTTAATTTAAGGCGAGCATTCCTTGTCACTATAGTAAACATGTAAACAATACTACTTAGCCGAAAATGTATGGAATTACCGCCGAGCGCTTACTGCAAAGTATTTAATTATAGCTGTTTATGTGTCAAGCTCATAACCCAAAATTGTGTACGTGCTTTTGAGAGTTTGCTTAGCGTAATGTGAGAATTGCCATTAAGTTAACCGACGTTCACACTTGGATTCACATGATTCCTTTCAGTAACTCACGTCGGCCACGTGGGGTCATTGAATAATCGCCGTGAGATATCATTTACTATTAATTAGTCGATCATCTGCATCAATTTCCGCTACCCAACTAGACCAAAGGTCCCTCAGAGCCGCAGAGGAAATCGCGAGCACTATTTGGCGCCACCGTCAGACATTTTTTTTGATCAACTACAATTTTACTTGACAGCTTTTTTTGTGAGAACTGACTGGAATGCCCCAGGCAAAATAATTGCAGTACGCCAAAATAACTGCAGTACCCGCTGCGACTCGTCCGCTGACCTGTCTGCGTCTCTGCCTTTTCACCGCGCGATGGGTCTCATGTCGGTTAGTCTGCTTAACCTAACACTCTGCCCTTCATCTATTTGTTTTTTTTTCATCAGTCAGTATTAACAATACAAAGTTTATAAAAAAAAGCTCTACGGCCCCTCAAGAAAGAGAAAGCATCAAGAAAAACACGAAATGCAGAGTATGTGCTTTACGGTTCAGAAAAATTTGAGTACACTACGGTAACGTTTAGTGCAGGAAAAGTTGAAGTGTGCTTACATACAGCTGGACTATGTCATCAAGAGGATAATGTGTGAGAGATTGTAGTTTGGGACGGATGAGCCAGCTGGCGTTATCCTGGGATACATTCACGAGGTTGCGGTAATTTCCTGATTGCAAATTGCTTTATTCATGATTTTTTCCTGATTGCAGGGTCATTTCCGATGGTTGCCAAATGCTTTTACTATTGGGCATAGGTTTTAAATGAGAACGCTTTACGTCAAGAAGGCAACGGACAGATAAGGCATGATGGGGCGAGCAAGCGAGTGGCAGCGCGTGCTGTGAGATGTGAGACGTTCTCTAGTACATTCTATAATATTTCTTATTTTGACGCCAAGTAACTGCAGTGCCCGCTGCAACTCGTCCGTTGTCCTGTCTGCGTCTCTGCCTTCCCAGCGCGCGATGAGCCTCACGTCGGTTACTCTGCTTAACCTAATAGTTTGCCGTCCAGTTGAGTGTAACAAAACTCGACTTTCTATTCGTATAGTTTGGTTCTATTCCAACGTTCTCGACTGCATTTAATCTACGACCGCTGAATGTATTATTCGAAGAACTACCAACTAAGAATCTATAACTTGAACCATCTAAATATAAGGTCCCTACAAGGCAGCATTATTGAGATGGTTACGTTATTCTTGAATAGATTTGCCAATCAATATTTGAACAAGAATGTTCATGAATAGAAATCCTTGTGTAACCATCCCTCGTATATTTTCAAAATTACCCTAAATATCGTTTGTGATCGTGTTTGCGTTAGCAGCTTACCATACGGTAATGCTGCTGCTCTTACATTAATGCTAAAGAAGCTGCGGCGTGATACTCATGCTTCCCTGCTCCGATTTGTGAAGAGCGGGCCAGTAGACTTCTACGAAGACCTGAGTGGCTACAGCGAATCGCTATCTGTTCCATATTATATACGGTAAATCTTGGGCTCTGGCGACAAGCGCCATCTCGTAGCTCGTTCTTATGGTTAAATCACCAATACCTTTTCTTGGCGCTCATGTGTGCTCCCGTGAACCATTTGCTCAGTGACCTTCTACACGGAACCACAGCTCAGACCAATCCCCCCACTGAGCTGGTAAGCTGGGCTCATCCTTTAGCAGCGCCTTATCCTATTTTGTGTATTAAAGGCAAATGCCCTGCTTTTGGAGGAAGGTAGCTGTTGTTCGGAAAAGGTGACTCGTCGGCAGGCGCCTTGGTTGCACCCATTTGTGGCGCGAACTTTCGAGGCAGGGCTGCTTAGGGAAAGTCCCGTGAATCCTCGAAACGCCGCCTCAAACTTGACGTTGTAGACGACATCTGCGTCTTTTCTTCTCTCGACTCTCTCATCTCCTTTACATTTAACCTCACAAACCAGCGCCCGTCCTCGTCGTACGCACGAAGTTATTACGTGGGTTGACCACATGTAATGAATGGTAAAGTGGTAATAATTAGCGCTTTTTTGGTGCTTTTCGTGCTTAACTTTCCGTGATAGGCTGCTCAGTTCCTGCAATTCTATTTCATAAAACCCTTACCTGAATTTTGCGATAATGGAATGTGCCTTTAAGATCTCATTTTCGGAAGTTGCTAGGATTCAATCGAGTTCAACCTATTCTCCTCGCAAAGTGAACTGAGTAACGACTAATTGAAAGCGAGCTCCTGCGGTTGGTGTCAATATGACATGCATGATGAGAATTAGTCAGTGGAACACTGCTAATCGAATGTTGCTCCAAAGATCGCTGGCAGTATAACACTCGACAGCAAGGGGTTGGCGATTAGTGACGCGAGCACAGCTAGGGAAACCCTCTTTTGAGGTGTTCCTAACGATGTTTTTCATCTCAAGCTGTAATAGTAGACGTGGGTTCTTAATCCAGTACCCCGTATCAGACGCTATTCATTCGGTTTTCTTTTTGAGTGACAAGTTTGTTGATTCGCCATCGGAGAAGCCCGTCCGTCTACTTCCCGTGCCGAAACGCAATGGCATTTTGTTTATGCTCCATGCCGAGCTGCGGGTAAAAGCAGAAGAGAAACAAACAACGATCATGCACTATAGTTGTTTGTTTGAGGTCATTATGCTATTTATTCCGGTTGATCCTTCCTTAATTATGTTCTTTCTCTCTTATAAAGGATCGACATGCCCGAAGACATTAGAATTCTGGCTAGACCTTGGAATGGAACATTGAAACGGCAAAATTTCAGCAACGCACTCGGAGAATAACGCAGAAAAGATCGATCTGCACATTCTCGTTACGCTTTTAAGTAGTCATTACTGTCTTTGGAATGCGCCACGAATTCGACATCCGACCACGTTCGTAAAGGCATTACGAATAGGATATGGCGTATAGCACAATTACTCGTGTTGGCCAATAAATGTGCAAGTCAGTGTTTCGCCCAAACAGACAAGTTACAGCTCACCTAGTCAACCCTGCGCGGGTTTGATTCCTTGACCATGTGGTTGATCAGCGCCGCCACTTGCCACTACATCACATTTGCCCTGGTACTTACTTACTAACCGCCGAAAATGCAGGTCGCACATCTTCCAAGCCGCTCTGCTTCGGGCTCTTCTGCGCCATAGCTGGCCGTACAATTTTACGAGAGGGTCTGTATCTGGGCCTTGTTTTCCCCGGTACCAGTCAGTCACTCTCTTCGTCCAGCGATCATCGGTGAGTCTAGCCACATGACCGGCCCACCTCCGCTTGGAATTATAGATGGCATCGACGACGTCCTTCACCATCGTACGAGCGCGGATGGTGTCATTGGGTATGCGGTCTCGGAGCGTTACACCGCACATGGCCCTCTCCATGGCTCGCTGAGTGACTGCGAGTTTCTCCTCTTCAGAGACTGTGGTGCTCCACGTCTCCGCCCCGTACGTCATTGCGGGAAGAACATGCGAGTTGAAGACGTGGGCTTTGACTTCGGAGTCTTGGGGCGTTTAGAATTTAGAACCCCTCTTAGCTTAATGAGAACGGTCCAGCCCGCACTGAGGCGTCTGCTATATTAATTTCGAGCGTAAGGCCTCTATGCCTTAATACTATTATGGAACATTTCAGATCACCACAAATACTTGATAAAAGCTCAATAGGTATTTCATTTAAAATATGACCTCTTGAGGATGAGGAGCATTTGGGATATCTGGAAACCGAAAAAAATTCTAGCCTATCGCTGAAAGTGCAGCAAGTGACACATGTGACACATGTCTGCAACAGTAATTTATCTCCTAAAGAATAATTACATTTTTAGATACTAATTTGTAATCCCATAATTTTGTTCCTACAACGCAGCTGCTCTTAAAACGCATAACAGCTGGAAAATCGCTTTGAAAGGCCATGTTCTCCGAAACAGTAGACTGATTCTGAAAGGAAGCCTGACTGAAATTGCTAAATTGTGTTCAGAAAAAGGGACATCTCCGAGCGCTGAAATGTCCTCTTGAATGATGAGCATTCCCAACGATTTGAGACGGAACCACGTTTTCGAAAAATTGCCTCTCGCACCCTTTTTGGATTAAATCAAGCATTTTTCCACTCTCGGTTCCGCATCCGATATTTATAAGGACTCATGTACCGCTAGAAATCGTCGAAAAATAGCTCAAAACAATGTTTTGCCTGGTCAGGTGCGGCTCGCTTAGGTTCTGGTTCTTATCAACACCTTTACAGAAACTTTGGCTCCCGCTTTTGGTCGCAGTTACGATTTTGCCAGCGCAGGAAAAATCGGAAAAAAGTATTAATCAAAAATGAACACAGCACCGCTGAACTATTTCTGCATTACGTCGTTATACTTATTATTTCTATGACTTGGAAAATTCTGCATGCCAAAATATCAGAAACTGGGGATGTGACGCAATGAAGCACCACGCCGCCTCACGCGATCTGCAAATGTGATGTCGTTTGGTAACGTGCTGCCAGCAAAACATTAAAATCTTGAAAGTCTGAAAGGTCAGTCACTGGGCCCAGCATGGAGGGCATTCTTGGCTAGGTGCCTGGGGTTGATATAATCCCTAAGCGGCAAACTGCTGTAGTTGGGGAAACGTTCATGTCGTATATCCTTAATTTCAGATGGTGAATCGAAAACTTCAAAATGTGCTTGATTGTCGTTCTTCTGCTTCAAATTTTAGGCTTTCTTTCCTTCTTTTGGATTCTTATGCGCATAAACGTAACGCCGTTCTCACACCATTATCATCTACAACAGCCTGGATATCTTATAATCAATGATGAAACTGCTGTGGTAAATTATTAATGGACATGAAAGCTGGGTGCTTCCTGCTGGGAAAAGGGCTGTCTGCAGAAGTCCACAGATGAATCTCAGTTCCTCGAGAAAAAGCATTTTTCTGCCCATGGCCGATTTCCTTAGGTGGGTAGCGCTTTGACGGTACCAATTGAGACTGCCCTGGCAGACTCCCTATGCTATCGATTTGTGAAAGATAGCAGGCATCCTTGTCAATGTTATCTTGAAGGCACTTACCGTAGCTAGATCATCCGACCAGTCCCGGGAATAAAGTTGCTGGGCCCACAAACTAGGAGCTGGAGTCCTTTTCATAATTCAAAACATGTGGAAAGGGTTCTTGAAGTTTAGAATTTCCAACCTTGACAAACTTGTATTTACACCCCAAGCATATTCTAAACAACTGCGTACACCCACCGTTGCGCCATCTGCGTCTCTTAACCGCCATATTCTCTCGTCATCGCGTACCGTCCACTTGCCTGGGACCCAGCCACTCTCTCCACTCTCTCCTCCTTTAGATGAACGAAGGCCTTAAATTGAGCGTCCTTAGTAGTCTTTTTTTCTCCCCGCTTCACTGGCAAGACACCTAGACTTAGCTTCCCATATAAGGACCCCTACTTATCCCGATGCTTAGTGCGAAACAGGCTTACATGGAACAGCTTGCCTTGCAGTATGATAGCGCACGTCCGCATGTAGCGAAGATGACATAGGAGGAAGTCACAGACTTTCATTCGTGTCTCAGTCCTGACTCAGCCCTTCCGCCTTCTACATGATGAGGGCTTTCAAATGTCATTTGAAAAGCAAGAACTGCGATCTTGCTGTACTTGAGCCCTGTGGTCTTGACTTTTTGAGTCGCTGCTTACCTAATTCCAATGGACAAAGGGTGTTGAGCAATCGCCGAAGCGTTGAGAACAACTGAAAGAAAACAATGGCGATTCTATTAAGCCATAATATCTTTGAACCACGAAGTAATTAACCTTAAAAGAAGCCAAGTGACGTAAGAAATATTTCCAACCGCTGTGCTTTCCTTTTCGATGATAGCATGGAATGGTTATATTTGATGAAATGGATCATTTGACTGATAACTAGACGAGCTTCAGAAATTTATCCCTGCCAAACACATATTTCGCTTTGCACTCTGAACAGCGCTGACAAATAGCTTTCTCAGCAACATTACAAGGTAATAAAATTGTTTTTCCAGCACCGCTTTCCAAGAGCAAAAAAGGGCCATACACTAGCAACACAAACTTTATGGTATGGCATTCCGTGCTGATTAAATTCTAAACAAACGTTAGCTGAATTTTAGAAGTCGGGTAAAATACATAACGTCGGGGGGTGGCGTTCGACGGCGAAAACGAAGAAGCAGTACAAATTCCTTCTTAAATTTACCTTTAAGCGGAAATTGAACGCGCAACAATCCTTCCTCTGTGTGATTAGGAAAAAGAAAAGCACTAGTGCTCTGTTTACCCTATACTGCCCTACTGCTCGAAGATTGGACTGGAAACCCTCCAAAATTGAGCATCGGTTTCGTATTCTGGGTAGCTTAACATGAAGAGTACGAATTTATCTATCTGGCGCCCGCGCCTCAGTTGACGATGCTATCACATTCGCTGGTGCGAGAACTTCAAATAGTACTTTTACGCCAAACAGTTGCGATGGTCGTGCTCTCCGGGCTGAAGCACTTCAGAATCAGGTTTCCAGCGAATTTGGCTATCCTCGATGTCATTGCACCGCGGTTTCGAGTGCCAAGAGTTTTCGAGCCGAAATTGACGTGAAATTTTATTTCTCCAACTTCCCTCTGCGCCCCTTTTTGGAAGATACCAAATGTACCTCTTCAAACAGGTGCAGGAAAAATCTGGCCCATTTTTTGAAGTTATGGGCGGAAAAGGTGAACAGTCCCAACAGAAGGACTGCCAATCGCGTGCCGTCGTCACGTAATGTATGAATTAAGTCTCGTAGTAAAGGAGAGTAGAATGACTTAAGTTTTTTTTACCACTTTTTTACTTCTTGTTTTAGCTTTCTTCATAGCTTATATTTATACTCAAGCGAATCTTCTTCGTTTCAACATCTGGTAGCAATTTTTTCTACTCTAACAGGTTTTTCTGCGTTGGTCGCGTAGTTCCTTTCAAAAAACGAGAAGAGCGTCGGGTGCAGACCATACACCACAAGTGACGACGGCCTCCACAAAATGTAAATATTTCTGCCAATGAAATAACTAGTCTGTTGCAGTTGAGGGCGTCGTCACTTGTAGTGTTTGGTCTGCATCCGACGCTCTTTTCGTTTTTTGAAAGGGAAAGGGATGATAGGCGCATTCCAACCTGTCCTTAAAATATTTTCTACTGGTAGTACCTGTTTGGGCTTTCCAGGACTTCTGAATCAGTCACAGGTATTTATTAGGTGTGAGACTAAGAAGTGTTTTTCACTTCTTTCCCGGGGATTACACATCTCTATGTAGTAGTGAAAATCAAAAAAGAATACTTCTCGGAACGAAGAAGTTTCGTCTAACGTTGAACTGCAAAGTTGTGAGTTTTCTGTAATTGTAGTACATTCAAGAATTTGAAGGATAAGGAAGTGGGACTGATAGAAAATGTACCAGAGCATTACTGTGAAGTGCAGTTATGACATTCTCATTTCCGTTCTGACTGAATGAATCCACTTTTCGCATTGCGGATGTTGATACGGATTTTCGAGAATTGTACTCGAAGGGCGCTCATGTCCTCAGAGGGGACATCAAAGCAGGACATTCAAAAACCGCTGGTAGGTGACACTAGGACTAAGCCATGGTAGGGGAAAA